CAAGGAAACGATTTTTTTTCCTCACACAGAGAAACTCAGAGGCATATGTTTCCCTCTTTGCGCCTTCAAGAGAGGATGAAGCTGGTCCTTGATAATAGCCTTGTAGATCCCTGAACTGAGAACCCAGTTCAGTCTGTCCTGGACTCCTATAGAAAATATGAGATGCCCCTGGAGCTGGAGTTACAAGCTGTTGTTAGCTGCCCTACATGGGTGTTGGGAACCAAACTCAGGTCCTCTTGAAGAGCAGTGTGTACTCTTAACCACTGAGCCATCTCTCCAGCCCCAATGTATTTTCTCTTCCTGATAGTTTTCCAAGTGTCAAGATCTTTCCCAACACAATCAGATGGATGGAGGTGGGAGGCTCCCCAACAGTGTGAAAACCGCTCTAAGTACAGATTCATGTTCAGAGAAAAATGTACTTAGTAATTTCCTTCTCTAGCCCTGATAGAAAGTAGTGCTTCCCAAGGACATTTCTGAAGGTCTTGCAAAGTTTACACATTCAGGATTTGATGATGTTTGATACAAATCAATGGAAAAAGAATAAATCAGTGCAGTGGGGGTGATTTGGGTCTGTTTTCTCCTTGAGACAGGGTCTCCCTGTAGTCCCAGGACCTGAACTCACAATGTAGAATAGGCTGGCATTGAACTCACAAGGATCCGCCTGCCTCTGCCTCCCGAGTGCTGGGACTAAAGGTGTGCCCCACTACGCCTGGCTATGCTTTTAAAATATTTTATTATTTCTATTTTGTGTGAATGAATATATTGCCTGCATGTATCTAAGTGTACCTGTGTCATGCAGTGACCCCATGTGGAGGTCGGAAGAGAGTGTTGGATCCCCTGGAACTGGGGTTCAGACAGTTGTTAGCTGCTATTTGGGTGCTAGGAATTGAACCTGGATCATCTGCAAGCCAGTATTCTTAACCACTGAGCCATCTCTCCAGTCCGTTTCTTTGCTTTTTGGTTTGGCTTTTTTTTAAAGGTGAACTGAATTTTCAAAGGATCACCCTATTCACACTATGATAAAGTTTTTAGTAATTGAAGTTGTGAAGATTGTTATCATATATAGATTTTAACCAGCAGGAACTTTTTTCCCCTAAACTTACAGTCTGGATCAGGCTGCTAAGAAACCAATTTCTATCAAAGCCCAAACTTAGGTCAGAAATTTCTAGAAAGAACTGATTTCTTTTCTCTGATATCTTGGAGATGTCAGGATATCACTAATTAAGGTCAATTATTTGAAGTTGTGAAGATTGTTATCATATATAGATTTTAACCAGCAGGAACTTTTTTCCCCTAAACTTACAGTCTGGATCAGGCTGCTAAGAAACCAATTTCTATCAAAGCCCAAACTTAGGTCAGAAATTTCTAGAAAGAACTGATTTCTTTTCTCTGATATCTTGGAGATGTCAGGATATCACTAATTAAGGTCAATTATGCGCAATGATGACTTTGCCTGTAGGCTTTTTTTTTT